CCATATAAATGTTAAGGCCTGGCGAGAATTTATCGAAAACGAATCTGTTTGCCAATTTATCCTCTGAACCGCACTTTTTTGTTTTTCTTAGCGTTAGGGTACTCTGAATACACGAAAAAATAGGTACGTCACAGTCAAATAATTTATTAGGAGAATTTATTTGTCGACACCTAGGTTTATCCCTTCTGTAGATACGAAAGACGCGTTCAAAATACTGCCTTTCGTAGGTGACGTAACAAGCCGGTTAATTAGATGACTTCTGAAGACAGCGATCACAAGCTCCTTCTCCGCGAATTCTCCCCTCCTACGTAAGAAGGGTAAAACCCGATTTCCGTTGGAGGTATTTACTCTTTCGCTTGCTCATGCGGACAAAGATACATAGGCTGATCAACGAGGCCTTTGGAAAGGAGGGCACACACCCGCTTAATTAAAGGTGCAACCAAATCAAATCTCCCTACCTCCCGTTACGAACGACTGCTGCCCTGTACTTTGCCCTCCACCCCCCCTTTTACTTACACTTCACAGGCTTTCACTGTAACCTGAACTACCTTGCTGTGATAATTACCTGCTCCCTCCTCTAATCCTCACTATGCAACCACATTTTTAACTTATGTTTCCCATCCTATTCACCTATTGAGCTGCAGCCTTCTAATTGGACAGTTAATTTACTATATTAACAGGCAATACCCGTTTGCGGATGAATTAGAGGTCACGATATATTATGACGCCAATAAATTCTGCTCAACTCGTGATCTTCGCCTTGTTCAAATCAATATGGTTTTTTGTTCTCGCACAGCATGGCAATTAAAGTCACCAAGTCGACCCTATTGATATCTTTCAAGTTTAGTTGACCCAATTGTGAAAAAAACTCGCGGCATTCGGCGGGATTCGAACCCGAATAGGAGGGAGGCTTTTTCGCAAGCCAACGCTCTACCCACTTGAGCTACGAATGTCGCGCTTAAAGCCATAGGTTTATCACAATTGGATCAATATTACCCGCCAAACTTTGCCGCTCATATGGAATCCACCAATATGGGACAG